TTTAATGGTGTTTTTAAAAAATAGAAAGTTGAACCCACTGACTTTCAAGACCCCTTCTCACTTTATAATATTTGACATCAGGTAATATATCTTATTCCCAGGGCATCCCAGATAATATAATTTACTGTACCTTTAAAGAAAGAAATATACAAAATAAAAATAAAAGTATATGTTCCACAATGCCAGACTATCAAACAACAGATTGTACCTTTTTATCAATTTCTGTTTTGTTTACTCACATATTTAAAAGAGAAATATTTCCTCTCCTATACAGTCTCTCATTAAAATGAATGAAAATACCAATAAAAACAAAGAACTATATAGAAAAAATTTAAGCCTCAGTGACTATTGAAAAGTGACTTACTATTTCATTAACAATGAAATAATTGACTGATAAAGGTAACAATGAAATAATTGACTGATAACATTTCATGGCATGAACCAATAGCTTATATATTTCTTGAATCAGTACCAATTCGTTGAAAGGAGTAGTTTTTATGTTGTTTAATCAACCTTATATTGTATATCTTACACCTACATGAGTTTCTATTTCTGCTGGCCACAGATTTTCTGGTTTTAGTTGGACCATTTGATTTGAGCTGACACACCAGATAGGACTCGTACCTGCCAGCTCACCACCTGAGCCAGATAACATTTTGAGTACTTTTTCATTAAGTCTTGCCTATAGACCAAACAGGTAGTTAGTGTTACCGAGTGTTCACAGGTGAGAACACTGAAGCATGCAGAGATCAAGTAGCTTTCCCGGGGCACAGAGCTCATGGGTGCCAGGGCAGGGATTTGAATTCAATTCAAGATCTGAAAGGTTTTATGATCTTAGCCATTGCCCTGTACTATGTCGTATAAAGATGTTTGTTAGATGTGCACATCAACAGAGGGGTGAATAGGGCCTGGCAAAGTACCTCAGCGGAGCACTTGGAAAAATACTTGAACTTTGATGAAGTGTCACTGTGCCTTAAACTTGAGTTTCCCTCAGAATATTTGTGTGTATCTGTCTCTGTGTATGTATTTCTTGTGTATGTATGAACTAGATAAGGCAGCATAGATACGATCCAATTAAACTAATGTTAAGTATTATAAAATCATAAATGTGTGGATTTTACTTTTGTGAAGTTAGTATTTGCTGTTCTTTTACTATTAGTTTTTTGTGGGGGGGGGGTCAGCTTACCTGGGTGTGGGGTTGGCACAGCATGTGGCGCTGGGAATCGATCCTTGGTGCCTGCATCTCAGGAGGCACCTTAGGAGCTTGCCTAAGTAGGTGTTTTAGACCACTTGAGCTATCTCACTGGCCCCATACTGTTAGCTTTTAACAGGGTGTACCAAAAGAAGAAATTAATAAAAATTGTGTTTGACTAGTTTTACATGATTTTTAAATGTCTCTAGAGTAATCTTATTGGGGTAGCAATGCCAATCAATATCTAGAAATCCAAGAATTATATGCTATTCATGCCTCCTCTTTAATAAAATGTACAAGTTGACAACTGATTCATAGTCTTCTGGCTTAATAATTCCCTTGTAGAATCTGGAGATGAAAACAAGTAATCTAAAGAAATATGAACTTGTTTTTATTTAAGTGGTTGCCTCTGTAGGGTAAACAGTTGTTTTTACTAGAAACTCAATAAAAGCTTTCAAAGTCAAATTCTTGTTAGGAGATAATTTTCCAAGGCTGCCCCATATTTTTCTTTGTCTTTGGAACTGAAACACTGAGTAACTTTGTATTAGACCATCTTTTCATGAATGTCTGTAAAGAAAACAGCCTTAAAAATGAGACAGTATCTCTTTCATAGGATATACAGGCTTTCATCCTGTCTTATACAATGAAAAGTCCTCTCTCAAATGAAGAATGGTGATGCTTTTTACCCATTAGGGAAGACTGGGCTTCCCTAAGCTCATGGTTTCTCTCCCATGTACAACTGCCTATATCATCTGACCTTTTTCATGTTGCACTTGGAACTTAAGAAAATGATGTATTCCCTGACAATGTTTATTGCTCTGAGTAATAAACCCCTTGTTTCTGCCTTCTGCTAGTATCACAAGGCTGTGGAAGGTTATTCTGCTGTGGAAGGTTACTCTATTTCCAAGTAGAGTAAATTCTCAGAATCTTCAAAGTTTTTCTCATCTTTCTCAAAGCAATATCATAGATCTTCATTTTAATGTACAATGAGAAATTTATAATTTCCCTTTAGAGGAGTAGATTACATTTATTTGCTGTAGGTTCCAAAGGACAAGACATATGGCATGGTCATGTCCCTAGAAACAAGGCAGGAATGCTTTGGTCACTTGGAAGAGTGACTTATGACAGCTGTTAGTCTCTGCCTATCTCCTTTTCTTTGTGCCCCTCTCTCATTCTTCTTTGTCATGAGTTTTCCTTCCCTTAAATTGTCCTCCTCTCATTTTCCTTCAGGATTCTCTTCTATATCTCTCATGGGCTTCCTTCAAACCTGTACTTCAGATGCAAATAAACGTGCTTATTTTTTAAGACAAGTGTCTCTGATCTGTGCAGGTCCTGAAGATATTTTTCAGATCACTACCTGGTAAAGGTAGAAGCTGAATCATAGCAATAATTTTCCCATATGTTTTTCTGCTGTAGGCAGTGGACTAGACTCAGGGTAAATTTTTACCCATCAGTGTGTTTCAGTGGCAGGCTGATCCTTGGGGAAAGTTTCTGACCAAAGGAGCTATAATTAAACTGTGAAAGGATTAAATATATATATATATATATATTCAATTCCCCACAATTATTTTATTATGTATCACATACACTAATAAAAAGGGAAACTTAATAATAATATCTTTTTATGTGTGGAACAATCTCTATCAGGAGTCAGCGGTCTGTGCCTATGAGCCCGGCCCAGTGCCATGGGTGTGCATGAACATTTCATTGGAATATATCTACTTCCATTCATTTATATACTATGTATGGTTGCTTTTAGATTGTAGTGACAAAAATTAGTAGTTGCAGTAGAAGCCATACAGCCTATAAACCTGAACTACTTACTCTATAGGGGCCGGGGAGATGGCTCAGTGGAGTAAGTGCTTCCCTGACAAGTGCAAAAGCCTGAGTTCAATCCCCGGTTCCGCCACAAAACAAAAAAAAAAAAAAACCCTGTTTACTCTCTCATTCTTTATTTAAAAATTAGTTTGCCAGCCCTTTAGTCTTGACATTGGGTTTCATACTGGTTAGTCTTAATTTCTAGTTTTTTGAGAAATAAAAGATGCTCATCAGAATCACCTAAGCAGACTTTCCTAAAGGTACACATCTCCTTTCACCTCCATTTTCTCATAGTATTTCCTGTTGAGAGTCACTGTCTTAAAAGTTATTATTCTAATTAACTGACACAGAATGTTTGTTTTCACTATTTTTGAGCCGCTGTAACATATTCACAGTGATACTGATCATGCTGTTTCTTTTACAGGGTTGTGGGAAGAAAATGTACTCCTTTTTGAGAGGAACCAAACAATTGCAAGTACTTAGGTTTCTGGGGATCTCCATTGGAGTGACACAAATCCTGGCCATGATTCTCACCATTACTCTCCTCTGGGCTTTATATTATGACAGAAGAGAACCTGGGACGGACCAAATAATGTCCCTGAAGAATGACAATTCTCAGCACCTTTCATGTCACTCAGTAGAACTGTTGAAACCAAGCCTTTCAAGGATCTTTGAACATACATCCATGGCAAACAGCTTTAATACACACTTTGAGATGGAAGAATTATAGACTGTTGAAAAAGGAAACAATAAACTTGTTTTATTGGACTTGTGCATTTTTGAGTAACAGTTACCTGTTTCAGAAATCTGTAGACTTAAAAATACTGCAATAAAATAATGTGTAGGCATATAATTTTGTACTCTTTAAAACAAAGGGGAAAGCTTCCTGTGTCACCACCTGGACAATAATTGGTGCCCTTTATAATGCCAGGACAGATCTAATACCCATCGGAGTGGTATTATAGCCATTTTATAGCCTGGGTAATGTTTTAATTGAATACAGTTATGTTTGAGTTGCTATGATTCGATCAACATTTCTGCATCTATGTAAATGAACCGCAGTAAAGGTTGATTTACTTCCACAGGCTACTATAAAAATTATCAATTAACCATTAACATAGGAAGCTAGACAGCACTAATGACTTTAATTTCTTGATATATTTTTTTGAGGGTGACGAGATTATGCATTAAGAACACTTTCAAAATTGGTGACTACCTAAATGTGGTTTTTGCTGGTTACTAAAATATTCTTACCACTTACAAGAGCAAACTAACACATTGTCTTAAACTAAGCAGGGATGTATGTGTATATGTCTAGGCAAAGTCTATATAGTTCCATAGTCTTGGATTCTCATAAGGTTAAGAATTGCAATTGTGAAAAGGATAAATTTGTTCTGTACAGAACCATTGTGTTAGCCTTTCCCACTAACAGAGCTTTTAAATTCAGTCTCAGGTTTATAATATATTTATAACAATTTAAATACTTAACCACTAATTTTAAAAATTACCAGTGTCATACATGGAAATCACTAGAAGTCTAACTAGTTCGGTCTTTAGGAAGTATTGACAAGAAAATTTACACACATCTTTGTTGACTCCGCAGGCACTTAGATGCTGTTTTCTCCCATGTGAAGCACACTAACAGTTTCTTAAAAATAAACGTTTGTTAAAAGAATTTACCTTCACCTTTTTCAAAACAACAGTTTTCAAGTCTATATAATTCTACAATGACTAGTATTCTTTGTCTCCAGAAAAATGCTTATGCAAATCATTACAATGACAGTTTAACTGGAGACTATCTTGGCTTTGTCTCATTGATTAATATGCTATGTCAAATTACACAGATTATTGAATTTTTTACAAAAGTAAAATATATTTATTTGAAATGGGAAGAGTGCATTTTACTGTATTTTGTGTATCATGTTTATTTCTCAGATTATGGAAAGAGAATTAAAACAAGTATCAATAAATATTTTCTAGACAGTAATAATTTGTGCCTATTTTTTATATATTCCAAGATACTCTACCACTTAAAAAGCCTACCAAGGGGAGAAACATGAGAAATGATTAATGAATAAAGTGTTAATAATTTCCAAACTCTGGAAGCAATCTGTGCAAGTATTTCACTGACAAGAGACAAAAAGATACTATTTTTTAAAAAAAACTAAAAAGTAAAAATAGAAAACATTGCACATGATACAAAATTTCACTAAACAGAATAATAGAAATTCAACAATGGTGATTATGTTGCCTAATGTTGACTTTAAATTAGTAAGATTATCAGGTATAAGCTTGCAAGGTTGGTCAAGAAAAATTATAATTAAAAAGAAGAAAAAATTAAAAATGTTTCAGCTAAATGATAATGTAGTTTAATAAAATGTAAAAATACATCCACTTCCAGTATGCTTGTCTCCTTAGAATTTTCACACCATGGTTTGCTGCTCTTAATTTTTAAAGGAATATAAATCCAGCAGGGCTTTTCAAGGAATATAAATCCAGCAGGGCATTGTGATACATGCCTGCACTTCCAGCTACGTGAGGACTGACGCAAAAGGATGGCTTGAGCCCAGGAACTGGAGGGTGGACAACAAGCCAGAATTTGTCTCTTTAAAAAAGAAAAAGGAAATAATAAAACGATTCTCACAAGTGCACTATTCAACTTGAAATTACCTACCAGATTTTAATCTTCAATAGATTTAAATAGAATTGAGTAAATTACCTCCTCAATCAAAAATTCCCTTTTGTAAATTCTTCCCTAAAATTCCACCTACGATACCCAAATAACTGAGACAGTTACAAGTTTTATTTGGATTATTTGTACAATTAAGTTTATTGACCTATCTTTTAATGGGTCACACAGCTGGAGGATAAGCTGCTTAGGAAAAAAGTTCTTAAATTATAAAAGTTGATTTGTACATTTAAGACTAGATATTTTGATATATCATCTGATTTACTGCCCTCTAGACTAGTAAACATAAATTTGGACAATCATCTGGTGTGCAATACATTTGCTTAATGGGGACCAACGATATTTATAGTGGTGCTCCACAAAGGCCTCTTATGGTACTAACACACCTGGAATAATAAAGCTGCAAGGAACTTTAAAAAGTGTATTTAACGCGGGAGAGCTGAGGGAGTCTGATGTTTGGGTGTATTGCAATCAAATTTTAACTATTTCTTTGGGAATTTTAAATACTTTTTTTCAGTGAAAAATCACCATTTTTAAAAGTAAAAATGTAAGAAGATATTTTTAGATTCATTAACAGGCAATTCAAAGTGCCCTGGAGACTCAGCTCTGGCAATTAAGGCTGATGCCTGTTCTTAAGCCCTGTAAAATCTGAGTTAGAGACAATTGTGATAGCCACAGGAGGAATAAATAAAGAAACATGCCGTGAATAGCGCTGTTTTTAAGCAGATGAGAGGGAGGAAAGTGGAATTAAGGTGGATGTATTGAGGAAATGACCTTTAAACTGGGTCAAAAAGGAAAGATTAAGCTAATTTATGAAGAACATTCCATGAGCTATGAGTCTAAGGTTAAAAACATGTGCACAGCGTTAGGGATAGGGACTGTGGTTCAGTGTAGTTAAGCAGAACACAGAATACCAGAGAAACGCCAGAGGAGAGGCAATGGAGGAAAATTTGGGTTTGAGGATTTGTTTCCATACGTTCAGTGGGGAAGGTTTTCAGAGAAAGAAGGTGATTGCTTCAGCCATTCCACTCAGCCAAGTAGGAACCTGGGCACCGGGAAACAGGTGTGCCCTCCGCACAGCTCCCCAGGGGCGGCCATCATTTCCTGTAGTCAATGCAAAGGGAGAGCTTGTGCCATCCAAGGCCGTAGGCCTCTGCTGGAGACTGATAGACTGCTCCTTCCATGTTTCTGAAGAGAGAGAAAGATCCGCACCAGGACAATGGAAGCCAGAAAGCAGCGCGCATAACACAAATCTCAGCAGGCTGAATCCACAAAAATTGGCAACATATTGAACTTGAGGAATAAGGGATTAAAAAGTAAAAGAACTGAAACCTCTAGATTTTATTTGAGTAAACCGGCAATTCATCTAGACAGAAGGCTGGAGAAGAGCGAGTGTGTGGGAGAGTGATTAATTCGGTTTGGGATCCACTGAGTTAGCTATGCCTGCAGGACATGCAGATGGAGACGTCCGCAGGCAGCTGTAAATTTCAGGCTGGAGCTCCAGAGAGTTCACTGTAGAGCTTGAGAATTTTTATATACTGTATTGCCATCTCAGGAAGCCTGACAGAAAATGGGCCAGGAACCAAATCTCGTATGAAGGGACGCTCAAGCAGGGTACTCCGAAAGGTTCTTTTTGTCTGAACTTCCACTCCTACACATGAGTCAAAGTGGTACAGAAATGACAAATGAATGAAAGAAAAAAATGGAAACAAAGCTTTTGTAAATGAGGAGGAGAAGGGTTGAAGGGGCGGGGAAGGGAATGGGGGAAAGAGAAACAAGACGGGTCATGTACAGGCACAAATTCCCTATGGTGACTGTGATCATTATGTATATCTAAAATGTACCAATTACAAAAAACTTTCAAGAAGCTGAAAAAAGAAATGACAAATGAGTACACTACTGAATCTTCCATGGCAAAGGGTCAGCTCCTGTTTAAAAGAAGACTGCCAACTGCTAACCTGCTTCTTCTACCCCCTTTGTGTCAGCCTTCAATTTAACAGTGAACTCACCTGTCCTGTGAGCTGAGTTCTTGCTCCCCAACCTCCAGGCTCATCCTACAAACAAGTTGAGGAAGCATCTTCTCGACTGCTTATTTCTCTCTTATTTTAATATGCTAATTGCAATCAATCTTTCTCTTCCGCATTCGTGGATTCCTGTATCCACCAACGCTTCATGTGTATTTTCTCTGCTCTTCACAATTCCTTTGCAATTTGCAGACATCATAGATCCCATTTTACAAATGGAAAAAGAAAAGCACTCAGATAGAACTGAGCACCCTTATTTCCTCCCACTTCGCTTCATAACACGTGGGGAGGCTCAGCTGATTCCTTACCTGGGAAAGCCAGATTCTCTTATATGTGAATCGGGATCTCAGGTTAAATTGGTCATCACATTCTATAACTGCTTCCCTCAAGGCAGCACTTCTGCCCCAATATCTAAAGGTTTGACTGAAGCCAGACATGGCTGTTTCTTTTGTCTCTGGTCTTCCGCTGATACATTTGTACAAGCACACAAAACCAAATTAGTTTCTTTAATTACCTTTATTGGGGATCTATATCTATATCTATCTATATATGTATCTATATCTATATCTATATCTATATCTATGTCTATGTCTATGTCTATATCTATGTCTAAGTCTATATCATCTCATACCCATCCTAAGTAAAAAAAAAATAAAAAACTACTTTTTTTTTTCAGAACTGGGAATTGAACTCATGTCCTTGCACTTGCCAGTCAAGCGCTTATTCTACTGAGCCATCTCCCCGGCCCCTTAATGTAGTTTTAAAAAGGGAACACACACGTGTTCCTTACGCTGAAATTCTAGGGTACCAGGGTCATTACTTCCTTGGTAAGCCAATGCATTTTATTTTGTGTATTTAAATACAATTATTCAAAACTGAGTTCACAGCATGCATAAGACCTAAAACAAGTTTAGGAAGCCTAGAACCACAGTCTACAGGAGAATCAGGATGGTCACTATTGTCTTCACTTCTTTCAGAGATGAAAAACAGGTTGCAAATCAACGAAGCTACCAAGTGGATTGGCCACAGCTTCTGCAAATTTGATGCTCTTACATTTGATGCCAGACACACCTTCTTTCAGGGACCCTGACAATATGCTCCCACCACCTTGTCTAGACCCCACTCCTCCCTCATCTCCCACCTTGTTCTTGGAGAAGCTTTCCTCCAAGGGCTCCACTGTTCAATAACAAAGCAACCAATTCAGAAATCATGCCCCCAAGGACCTGCCTTAACCAACTCTCACACTCAGTCCATGTACACCTGCCCTAATCAGCCCAGTTACTCAAACTAAAGCTTCAGGTATAAAAAGTAAAGCCATATTAATATGCTGAGCTGTAAAAGGCTCAAATCAACAACTTCTGACATTGCCAGTCCTACAGATAACCCACTACTATGATGGACTACTGGGCTATATTGGATTATTTTGCTGAACTCATGCACCTACAATATTTAAATGGCAATGGAATATCCATCTCTGACAAAACTAAACAAAAAAGGGGATACAAATGAAGGACTAATTTGTATCTGTATATACAAAATAGGATAGATATACACCTACTTTCTCTTAATTCAATGAGAAGATTTGTACTAATAGTGTTTGGACAGGATATCATGTCTGCATCTTGTACTACGAATAACTACTATGAAGGCAACAATATGCAATGTATTAATTATTGAAACTGTCCTACTAATTGGTTTTGAAACTGTCTCATTGCTATTTCTCAATAAAATTAATAATAAAAAAACCCTAAAGCCTCACCTACTCCTTCCTGTAGAAACCACAATAAAATCGATCACAAATAGCACACTGCTTCCCAAATGCAAGCAGCATACTGGATTAAGGGGAAGTTAGAGAAGAGGAGCAGTTCCTCTTTCCTTCCTGGACACCCCTGCAGCCACCTCAGTTCCTCTGTACAGTTCCTCTGGTCATTTACGAACTGAGTTAAACCAGGAGGTTCTACTACCACAGAACGAGAGGGAAATTGATATTGGCATCAACAGTAAATCTCTGCCTCACTGCTCTGTGTTTGAGAATAAAATTTATCATTTGAACCCATTTTTTCCAAACATATACCCTAACACTTTCCTGGTCACCTGGCCAATTACAGATGCTTCAGGGCCTGTAAACTCCTATGGATCCTTTGCTTTCCTGACTCAGCTCACTGGAAGGCTGGCCTGAGGTAGCCTCATCTCCACAGCCTG